TATGTATATATGTCTATATATATATATATAATGTACATATATAGACATAATACATATGTATATGTAAATGTATATCTAAATATATGTACTTATAGCGGTACAACTCAAAGCTTCCGGGTCCGGTCACATCTTCTGTTGTTGAGGCTTTTTGAGCTGGACCATGCGGGGAAGGAGAAGGATGATGGGCGGCTGCGATCTGCCGGGTTTGAAGTCGGGCAAGATGTGCTGCGCAAGAGTGATTCCTCTAAAGCCAGGATTCAAGCTATGAGCGCCACAGAGGTCACCCTCGTGGTTCATGAGGGGCAGGTCGCGAAGGTCCCAGCGAGCTCGTTCCTCTCGGGAGAGTGGAAGCAGTACACGGCGAAGGAACAGGCCTTGGAAGTAGTCTTCAAGGATTGTCTTCCCATCAATTGCGCAGAGTTCCAGATTGGGCTGTGGAAAGCCAGGGTGCTGAAGCAAGTAGCCCTGGACGAAACGATCGGGGCAAAACACTATGCGAACCTGCAGGTCTTCCTGAAACCCTCCAGGGATGTGAAAGCCACCGTTCGTTATGAGAAAGGTGCCTTGCAGATAGTGCCGAGCACACATCGAGTCGAGCTGAAACCAGCCGGCAGCAGTGCTGGGTCTAACATCTGCTGTGGGACGGCAGACATTCACGGGCAGAGCTACGATGTCCTTTTGAGCTCTTGCTTGCAGCAGAGCCCGAGTCAAGTGCTGCACCCATTCTGGGTGTTGCGCACCTCCGCAAATGCTGCGGAGAGCAACCTCGAGCTGACACCGAAGAATCATCTCGTTAGGAAATTGGCAATGGACAAAGATTCCTGGCACGTCCCCATTGCCAAGAACTCCAAAATCATCAACCCAGGCGACTCCTTGATCCTCTACAAGCCTGCGACAGGTGCAACGCCAGCACCTTTGGTGCAGCCTCCATCGAAGAAAGCACGAAAGGCTTAAACCGCAGGCGCCCTGCGGTCTCATGATTTTGAAAGCGTTTCTATATCGTAGGTTTATATCATATATATATATATATGTATACAGCAAGCACGGAACCACACATTTAAGTTTATATAGAATATACATTTATTTAGATATGGAGTATACGAAAGCCGGCGAGTCAGAATGACATCGCACATGAGGTGTGCACAGATTTTCATGTCAGGCAGGGCATGTGGGCTCGCCTGACCATGGGCAGGGATGTATTCTCGCCCATGACATGTTCAGTGGAGCAGGAGCATGAAGAAGGTTCTGGGAAAAAAAATCCTGTGCGAATGCATGCAAAGTTGTTGCAGGTTCGTGCCAACTGCACATATTGGAACGGATGTTTTGTGCCTGCACCTGCAGGGCTTGAGGCTCGCAGACAGCGAAGCAAGATCAGATTTGCGTCCGCATCTCTACAGCAACGATGTCAAAGCCGTCCCAGATGCAACAGGTGTGGGCGATCACAGGGGGAATGTTGAAGAAGAAAGCGAAGTGGCTCGTCAAGACAAAGGAGGTGGAGGACAAGCTTTTCGTCAAGATCGACAAATGGGACCGTTCTTTCGTCCCGTTTGTAACGGGCCACTCCGTTCAGCTGAGGAAAGACAAGGAAACGAGTGTTTTTGCGCATGGGTATATAGTATATGATCCCCGGGTATATATCCAACTATATAGAGACAGAGGTTGATCATAGATATGT